GACCTGCAGACGACCATTTTGTATATGGTTTTAACGAAACTTTAAAATAATCTGATCTGCAAAATACATAAAACTCCGCAAGAAAAGAGCGAGCAAAGCCAACAGCACAGCCAGGGGTGACCACGCTGGTGAGACCAGAGGGTAGTGCTTTGCTCCTCTGAGCTTGCAGACAGTCCCTGTAACGCACAGCCACCTGTGTGCTAACTGCTACTAGTGCAGTGTAAATCTGTGTGAATATCCATGTACGTACATATGTATGTACACACACAAACCCATACATATTTATCTAAAGAGGAATCAAGCCACATATCACTTAAACATGTCTAGAAAGACTAACTGATTTCATTATTTTCAATCATTAATTTAACAAAACTAAACCCACACCATCTAACCACTCTGTGCACTCTGCTCATTTCGACTGTTAAAGACTTTCAACTTAATTAAATATGCACTACTATTTTCAAACGTCAGTTTTTTTCAGTGTTTTGGACCACAACATAGGTTTCCTGAGGTTTTCAAGTAAGGGAGAGCACGGAATGAAGGTGGTGTTACTAAAAGGGTCCAGCCCCTCTATCACTTAGTTTGATGACAGTGCAGGGGATGAGGTCACACCTAAAAAGAGCGAGATCAGGTTTTGCTTTTGCCTTTCTGTAAACACTTGGCTAAGACATCAACACAGGACTTCATTCTTGCAAACTTCCCCTAAATTTCAGCACTGAGAAACAGTACAGACTGAACTGCAGATTTTGTAAAGAATTACAGCTGAATCTGTGCAAACCTTTCCTTTTGATTTTCAGTGTTGTGATGGTACCTGGAACGGTACTTCTTGGCCAGACACAACCAAATGATGATCCTCTTCCTTTCTACTGTAGAACTGGATTCTGAACTATAAACAAGAGTGGCATTTCTTTCTCTGACTTAAAAGTGGAACACAATTCATTCTCAAAAATCACACAACATTGCCCACTTCTTACTCGCCAGCACGTGAGGCAGGAGGTGAAGGTGGAGCAGCTCAGGAGGACAGGAGGCTTTGATGGAAGCAACGGATTATGAGGAACCTTGATGCTCTGTGTCAAGCACCTCTGAATATCAATGAGAGCGGAGGACTGGCAAGCTTCAGAGGAAAACTGCTCAGTAATTCTAGTAAAAGCTTGATTCTTGTGGTATCTCTGCAGCAGATTAGATGCCTTTGCAAAGAATTTTAAAAGTTAGAAAAATGCAAAAGCATTTGTATACACTGAGATACAAACATCGCCTAACTCCCTTTAGCTTTTCACCACTGGCTTGTGTTGCACTAACCTACAGCCTAGAACAGGCTCCACTGACAGGGATCCCCCGACCTGCTCAGAGCAGCGGGTGAAACGCAAACAGCAGTGGGTGATACTCAATGCATTGCCATGAACACGTTGGGCTCCTGCCTCTACTCCTGGCCCTCATCTGCCTGGGAAGACTGAAATCAAACTGGGAGTCTTAACACGCAAGTCGCACGGGTGCAGCACCCCACCACACAGCAAAATATGAGCTGGAAGCGAGTCACGACAGTATGTCTGGCTGATTTGGACAGAGCAAGGAGCCACCACTCTCTCCACAATCTCAGTATAAACGCTAGTTTTTAGGACTAAAGTAACCTGCAGTGTTGTATCTTTTATTTTCTGTTTTTCAGAGTTCCATTTTTTGCTAACTCTCCTTTCTTCACTCTGCCAGAAGCTCGATATGTTTGTGACCTGGCAGTATCACAGCAATGAGCAGAAATAGCATTCATGGATCTGGCCCACCTTCATAAGCAGGGACAAGTTAACTTCACCAGCCTGCTGTGGTCACCTGGGCGTAAAGATGACACAGACACACAGCCAGAGGCATGGAAACACCACACTGGCTGCACAGCAGCTTTAAGGCAGCTGGGCAAGTCAGCATCCTCAGAACTGCTTTAGCTCCACAAATAAAGATAAAAAAGCAGGTGACAGTTACATTTGCAGGTGAGCCAAAGAGAAAGTCTTTCCAGTCATTTAGCATGGAATATTTGTTTCTTCTTATTACACATAACCACACATTAGTCTGACTTAGCATGGGTTTACAGGAGGTTTAAGTTAAGAATGATGAGATATCTTCTGTTTCATATATGTCTTCACACAATACAAAGGGGAAAAATGCAACACAACTTTGAAGGTCCTGCGGAGCAGTAACAGTTTCAAACTGGTCTTTACATCTGCTATTCAGTGACATTTCTGCATGTCCCAAAAATGAGTTACCATACTTAAAAAAAGGAAAGACATAAATCTCTTTTATCACAGAAAGAAGAGCAACTCTTGACATTGCTTGTTTTACTTCGTTTTCATGTGTTGATCAAAATGCATTTTATGGTTTTATTTTAAATTTAAGCTACCTAGTTTTTTTTAAGTTAGGTTTTTGTTGTGTCTTTTAGTCTGAGAATAACAAAATAACATTACCACAAAGCAATAAAAAACCCATGAATACTTAAAGGAATTAAATCAAATTAGTTATTCTGCAGAATAAGAAACTGATTTATGAAGAGATTAACTAGGCACTCTTCCAAGCAGCAAGAATGAAAACTCAGTGTATAATGCCAAGCAGTCTGCTCAGGTTTCTAAGAAAACAAAGAACATAAAACAGGGACATCATCTTAGATGACTATGTACAATCACTTAAACTTTACTACAATGTAAACACAATTTGAAAAGAAAATCATCATCGAATGCATTTATCAACATTGTATTGAAAATATTAAATTTCCAGTGTCTTCCAGATAACTTCTCTCACTCAAATATAAATTGATAACCTCCTAAAATAACAGGATGCTAGCTTTAGGAGGCTGTTAAAACATTGTTACAATTTTTCTCCTACAAAGAGCGCAGAAAGAGTCACTGCAATGTGGAATTCTTGTTAGCAGGTGTATTTTTTTTGCCGGTGGTCTATCTCAAGAAAAATATCACAAGCCTTTAGAAATATCAGGAAGTATCTTTTACGGCAATTTCATTTTTAGAGCTGAATAAAATGTACATCAGAAACTTGTAGAAATTGGATTTGGAAGGAAAAATAAAGCTAACGCTACGTAGATCTGTTGTGTATTAGTTTTGAATGAACTAGGTTCTTTCAGTTCACAGACCATTTTACATATCAAAAAAATTATTAGGATCAAAAGAAATGTAACTATAAACATTGCACCCCAACAGTTTCAAATCTGAGCTTCAGAGAACTGTACAGACACAAATCTGAACGCCATAAAGTACAGAGCAGAAGAGAAGCCAAGCCAAACGAAAACAAACATTCTCTTCAAAAGAATTCAGTATTCGCATTTTTTAGGCTAGCAAATTTTTGAGTTCCAGATTCTAACTTTGAATCAACATCTTAAACAATTTATGGTTTGTTCTTCATCTGTGCAGAACTAGATGAAGACTGCAGCTTCCAGCATGCACGAAAGGGAAGTGACATTTCTCAACTAGAAATGCTGCTACGTAGTTAGCTTTGACTATAAAGCAGCAAGCTAATACTGCTAGCTTCCAGTTGTGAATACTTGCCTCTTGTCTGTCCATTCTTTTGAAGAAATACTGAATATTTTAATACCGCTCTTCAGAAGCAGTAACGCCATGCAGTGTGAGCTATACACTGCTTCCATCATAGTCAAAACTACACAGCAGACTCTGCTGATGGCCTCATATACCAGGAAAACAGAAATCTCTGAAGGATGTAATACGACCACTGATAAGCCATCAAAACATTCTACAGCCTACGCCCAAAAATCCAGGTTTTGGTGGGGATATTCTTTAAACACATCAATCAAAACAGTTAATATATGGCAGCTTTGGATTTGGTAACCGTCACCTCCACGGCAGCATTGATCTTAACAGCAATGTACTGAATTTAATTTTAACCAGAATCCGTCTTCCTCTTCTTAAAGTGCACTTCTGTAAAAACTGAAAATCTTCAGCAGACTCAAGTTCGATAATTGTTTCCAACAACAGCTTCATAACAGCACAGCACAAAGCTTATTCTCCCAATGCTTATTGGAGAATGAATCTGAAGATACGGTGCTTTTATTGGAAAAAATCCCAACCAACTCAAAACAAAATAAGCCCAGTTTCCTGTTCAAAACACATGAAAAATAAAGCAGAGTGTGCTGCTATTAAGAAAGTTGCCTACACACTGGGAGCACAATGAAATTTATACAGATCTATATGCTGTGCTCTAGTTAGAAATTCATCCTTGCTCAGATATCTAAAGGATAAATGTTATCCTCAGATTTCTGTATAAACCCACATAATCACTTAAGGCTTTGCCTCCTTCCTGGATTTACTATTGTACAGTTAACAGAAAGAGTTTCACCCCCTGTCTTTCTCCCAGGGGGAATATCGACTCTCCTGTCTTTATCTCCAGTGTATAATAAGAAGTCACTGAACAGTTGTGTTTCCAGAGCAGTGTTGTTTCAAGGTACTGATGCAAGATGAAACTTACTCCAGTAGACAGAACTGAGTATCCAAACACCATAAAGAAGCTGAACTTCCAGTCAGAAAGTTAAGTCAACTCTTAATTGGACAGAGCACAACTCCTTTTACCCAGCTGAAGAAATGTTCACCCATCGTTTCAACTGGCCATCCTATTCAGAAGAGGTGAAGCTGTGGACCATGCTCCTTGGCATCATGCTGGTTACTGAAGTGACCAAACACACAGAGCTCAATAGAGAAGAGTATTTTTGTAGGAAACACTGCCACACAAATATGAAATCTGTCAGCTGTCAACAACAACAAAACAAACCGAGGGGCTGGGGCTGTTTCACAGGGCAACAACAACGAGCGTGAACTGGATATGCAGGAAAGTAAAACTACACAATATAAATTTCCCCAGTCATTGTATGCATAGCCCCACTTCTCTGTACACACTTCTGTGTAACGAATGCAAGAAAGCTGAAGGGGCATCAGAGCGGGTACGAGTTTTTCTTCCCTTGAAGTGTCTCCGCTTTCCTAACACAGCAGCACTTCTGCTTATCACTGCTCATTAGTGCCCTCTGTTGCATCCGATGAAGACTTGTCTGTTTTCTTCGATTTCCTCTGCAATTGCTCTTGTTCCTTCTTTCGAAGTTTCTCCCTTTGCTTTTCCATTTTCTCTTGAGCTTTGCGAGCTTTCTCCAAAGATGCTTTCATTTCCTTTAGCTTTTTTTTAATGATTGCTCTGTCCTGGGAAGATGTCATACCAAGAGCCTGAGGTGGGAAAAATAAAATTAAACAAGAAAAATAATTTCATACGCTTTAATCTATCACCAAATTTTTTGTATTCTAATAATAACTCTTCACAGGTAGAAGACTATCACAACTAAGCAAATGTGAGACAAGCTCAGACACATTACTTGAAGCTTAAGTAATAATACTTCATACTTCTGTACTACATTTCATGCTTTCCACCTCTAGATTAAAAAATTACACTGCAACCACAGTTTCATTATGTTGATTTCATTGATCAAATGAGCTAAAGAATCATAGAATCATAGAATGGTTAGGGTTGGAAAGGACCTCAAAGATCATCTAGTTCCAACCCCCCTGCCATGGGCAGGGAAATCCTCCACTACACCAGGTTGCCCAAAGCCTCATCCAACCTGGCCTTGAACACTGCCAGGGATGAGGCATCCACAACTTCTCTGGGCAACCTGTTCCAGTACCTCACCACCCTCAATGTAAAGAATTTCTTTCTTATATCTAACCTAAATCTGCCCTCTTTCAGTTTAAATCCGTTGCCCCTTGTCCTATCACTAAACACCCTTGTAAAAAGTCTCTCTCCAGCTTTCCTGTAGGCCCCCTTTAGGTACTGGAAAGCTGCTATAAGATCACCCCGGAGCCTTCTCTTCTCCAGGCTGAACAGCCCCAACTCTCTCAGCCTGTCTTCATAGGAGAGGTGCTCCAGCCCTCGGATCATCTTCGTGGCCCTCCTCCACGATTAAACTATTAAAGATTAAACTATTTGCCTGAAGTCATCTAAGTCTACTTAGAAGAAGGCTTCCCAATTCTCACTGCTATGCCTTAGTCAAAAGTTCACTTGGTCTCTTCCAAAACCTCTAGAGTTAGTGAAAAGCCAGCAAAAAAAATCAGAAAGGAAACACCAAACTTTGACTTTCAGATATGCTGAGCCTCCTATAACTCCTTCCTGTAATTATTTTTGACAAAAGTAAGTTCATATTTTTGCTACAAGAAACAGTGCATACTTTATACATCAAAACTGTATTCAGTTCTAAGATAGTACAGTTGATATCCAGCTTATGTCTCCAGTATCCCAGTAATCCATTTTTCAGTTGCTACTTCTGATGTATTTCTATTTACTATCTTCTCTGCATCACCCTTTTGCAACACAGAGCTGGAAGAGAAATATGTGCACGCAAATACCACTTACACATGCTGCTATATGATTTACTCATGCAAATATGGGTACATTATATACACCCAGAGTTTTCACAAAGCAAATGCTCTCTACTTCTGAAGCTTCTGAATCCAAGTGCATATCGGAATTTCTTAAAGTGCTGCTGTGGCTTTATACTCTGTGTTTATTATTCTAGTCACCACTCCACACACAGGGATTCACTGCTTTCTGGCCGAGTTCTGACTTCCTTTAAGATTACCTGAAGTGACAACAAATACTACGGTTAGTCTTTAAGTGGTCAGTCAATTACCTTGAGTTTACTCCCATCCAGCTGAAGGAGATGCTCCCCATTAATGTTTTGGGTACTGAATTCGGAAACATACTGTTCAAGGTTCAGGCTCATGAGCCAGTGGGAAACCTGCTGCACACTCCACTCCTGAACAGCACGACTCTGACACTGACTGTGTTTAGGAGACTGTCCATCGTCAAGAATCTGTGACAAAAACATGCTGCATTATTATCAAAAGGGTAACACAGACAAGTAATAACATTCTTCTGTACAAACCACCAGCATCAGAGCAGAGGTATCTGTACTATCTTTACATTACAACAATAACAATTTCATATTAATAACTGTATCTAACCAGCTATTGAAGAATTGGTACAAGGTACCCAAAAAGTCTTCTATCTATAAATAGAAGAAGAGAAAGGAACTGACATTCCTTTTAATCTAAACAGGGACTGAAATGGTCAGGTGGCACAATTCAAAATATGTATGCTCCCATTCCCCCGCAAGATTTTCATCCTTCAAATTAAAACATTTCTAGAGGATGCAATGAATTCTGTATTTCACTTCCCGGGCCCATTCACAGATCTTTATGATGTGTTTAAGCTATAAACCAAGCTTAATTCAGCGGGAAAAAACTCTCAAAAAACCACTCCAAAGTTCAAAGTGATGACATCAAACAGCCAGTGAGACTGATACTATCTATGGAAGACTATGAGATGACACAGAGGAGCGGTAAGGAACACACAGCGATCCCACAGCCCTGGCCCTGCTCTCATCACATTGTGCTGCAGAGGAGGAGAGCACAAGCACAGCACCAGGAGGGGTAGGTGGGTGTCAGCTGCTGGGGGCAGCCCTGTGTCCCCACTCTGCCACTTTATTCCACCCAGGGGTATGCCAGCAGGGCCTGAAACAAAAGCTACTCTGTCCAAGCCATGGTCAGCAAATGGCTGCAGCAGCTGTCTGCTGTTAGAGCAGCCTTTACACTGGGTTAGATGATGCTGGGAGCTCTCTCAGCTTCTGGCTGTCTAGTTCTCAGGGAAGGGGAAAAGCCGTATTAAGCACTATCTTCTCCTTCTCCTATCGCCAGCAGGAGCACAGTGCAGCTGATGCTTGACCTGGTGGATTTGCTCTGACATCGACCCTCCTCCCCCTTCCAGCATACCACAAAAACTGCAATTTGCTATGGTCTGGAAAACTCTTAGCAGCAAAATGAGAGGGGAACTGAAGACAAGAAGAGAGGAGCCAGTGACATCCACATGTTCTGCTTGAACAAGGGGGTTTGCCAAACAACATCATAAAACAAGAAATGTGAATCTGGAAATGAGACGATATGTTGCCACGCGATGGTCACACGATTCACCACAAAAGCACACTAGTATCTCACCTCATCATCAATCATATCCAGGCTCTGAGTGAGGGAGCAACAAAGAAATGGGAAAGAAAAGCATTATAGAAACAAAATACAGAACGTGTAACAGCATGTAAAAGTTCAGGCAAGGGCAGCACCAAGATCTGCAAACAGATATGGCTACTCAAAACCAAAGAGATTTCTTTAAAAAAAATTATTTCCAGAAGCAGAGAGGTTATGTTGGAAGCTCAGCAGACACATGATTTGGCAGCTAAACCTGAGATTGTGTCAATGAAACCCCCTTGGGAGTTCCTGGTCTTGACACCCTAGGACCGGTGGGAACCTTCCTGATGGCTCCAACTGCAAGAACAAAAGCTCCTTAATTAGAGGAGAACAACCTGCAAGAACTGGGTTCCCTCCCCACCCTTTCATTTTTTTCATCTCCTTCAAATAATCACGCTGGATCTGCCAGAGAAGCCTGACTGAAGCAGTGCTCGCAGCAATACGCTGCAGAAGGCTGAAGAGCAACACTGGCCTAATCCCCTGCCAGGGGGGTTGTGGAGGTTTCCACTGCATCAACTCTTGCTAAACACGCTGCCTGATTTGGAGGCTGCAATTTGGCACGCAGCAGAGGATCGAGCAAACACATTCATTTTTATAGATCTGTTCAGGCTTGGTATTTTAGAAGTGATAAAGTAGAGAGCTGAACAAGCAAAATGAAAGCATTTTCAAGCTTTTAATTCAATACCACTGGGAACAGGGCATTGTCAATAAAATACATAATATAAGGAGAATGAAACATGGTAAGAGAATGAAATGTATTACCAAGAGAGTATTAATACTAAATAAAGTATAAATTATGACTTTGTTGTCTTCAGTAACTCACAGAATACACACACTCCTGTCTACACTCTCCTATGATTCTTACAAATTTTTGCCCTTTATTACCTGTGGTAAGTAACCTCTAAACAATGGTTGGTTTTGTAGACTTGCATTTTGGCAAATGGGGTTGCATGGAACAGCTCTCATTCTTTAAACCCATGCAAGGCATGCAGGCAGTAACAGTACAAACCTAACTATCATTAAAAAACATAAGACACAGATACTTCAAGTTTCTCCTCTCTAGAAAAAAACCTGGCTCAAACCTCACGTGAAAAATCTGAAATTCTTACTGAGTGTTTTTAAGAAAACAAAGGCACGGGTTTCCTGAGTGCACAGGACACGTTGTCAGCTACTGTCAAATCGTGCAGCTTCACTGAGAACGGAGTTAAAAACTCAGTATCTTGAGAAAAGTATTTTAAATATATTATATTCAGCTCGATTATGTCACCAATTGACAGGGTTAGGAATGCTTTTTCACATTATCATTGTTCAAAAAAATAATGTGGTTTGAAGTACCAGAATTCAAATCCACTGTGCAAAGCAAGCACGAAGAGAATGCAAAGTGGATTAACACATATACATTCTAATCAATATATATACATTCAGGTACAGTAATACACAATTACTGTGTGTACAGGTCATTATTATTTTAATGTACCAGGGTAAAAATTAGCATAAGTGAAGATGCCTTACATCTCAACTATATTTACCAAACTATACTGTATCTGTATTATCTCAAAATTGTATCAATGATGTCCAATTTAGTGTATATGTGTACATATATTAGTCCACAGGTATATATTTAGAATGTAGGAAAAATGTCTTGAAATGTGTGAGGATATAGCACCTCTTAGGAAACCAACTGCATTCTACTTTCCTATGATAATACCATAGGACCTTTATTTCAAGTAATTATTATATGAACAAGAAAAATTACAATCTAGAAGCCAAGATTAATTTTTGTCTCCCATTCTACTGTCTAAAAAAAATCTATTATTTGAGTAATTACCAAGTAAAATGCCATGGGAGAAAGAAAACAATTTCATCAGCATACCTCGTCTGACGACAGTGCTAAGGAGTGTGAGAAACCTGGGGTTTTAGGTTCTGCTCCTAAACCGCTCAAATCAGCTGAACTTGTGCTGCTGGGACTGAAATCATCATTGAATGTGAAATTCTGTGGAGAAAAAGATGAGTTACAATAAACAAATCATCTCATGTGCATCTAAAAGGGAAATTTTCTTTCTGTCTTCCAGGTTGGCATAGTTCAGGAGTGATTTCAATCATTTACCAAACCAGTTACAATACACATAAGGAAGGATAATTTTTAGTAGTGTTAATATTTATAGGATACACAGTATTCTTTCCACTGTGTACTTCGGGAGACACCTTTGCTATCTTAATGCCTCAATGAATAGCAAAGGGATCTGAAAGCAATTTCCAGACTCCCTCTTAAGATGCTGGCTCTCGTCCTGGAGCTAAATTACTTCTTCCGTGGGTTAATCACTAGCATTTTACTGTCTTCCAAATATTTAGGACAAGCATAGCACAGGCAGTAGCACAAAGAATAAGACAGAGGATTAATTAGCAGAGAGAAGTGAAAAATGCTATTGAAAGAGCAAGGAGAATATCCTGTGAATCCATTTCTGAGTTCCAAATAATCTCCTAGAAAAGTGAAAGGATCTTCCCTTTTTGTCTATACCTTTAGAAAAAAATGAAATTGAAAGTAAAAGAGGTCTTCAGATATTGAATGTTATTTACTGAAATAATAACCATAAAACGAACACTGTTTTTTCTTAACAAGGCGATGACAGACATCACACCTTACAGCAAAGAATAGCAAAAGCATGCACATATTTTCCAGGAATACAGCAAAATTACCATCAGAAGACAAAAATAAAATATTTCACATTAGAGCGAGAACCATAAAAAAAACCAAAATCTAAAAAAAAAAATTAAGGACATCATGATATTCCATTAAATAGAATATATAGTTGATGATATGAAGACCTCTAATCTCTAACATGTAAATGAATATCAAATTCAATTCACATTCAATTTAAAAAAAATGGATCCAAACATCAAAACCAAAAAACAACACTAAAAAAAGTTACCCTTTTATCCCCCTTAAGATATTTGACCTATCTTTTCTGAAAACAAGCAGTCTTCCAAAATATCAAGAGTTAGTCCTCTTAGTTTTGCTGGAAATCCAACTAAATATTGGTATCACATTGTACTTTAAAATCCAGAACAGCAGTATAGGAACTGTTAATTTAAGAGCTTACAAAGTTTGCACAGAACATAAAAATGTTTTTGTGACCAGTTTTCTCACACCTATGTTTAGAGTTCCTGTTTTGCTTTTCCCAACTCTTTATAGAGGAGAAGAAAATCCAAGCAGCTTCCTTAATATGCAAACTTTTAGCCCCCACAGTGTTCTTAGGCCAGGAGTTCAACAGCTCTACCTCCTGTTGTGTGAAGAACATCTTCTTTTTTAAGTGCTCTGATTTTTCTTTCACCTCCATTTTATGCACGCTTCGGCCTTACGATGAATTTAAGTCTTTAAAATTAAATTTTTCTTTAGGAAAACCACAAGACAGCCAAAGCCTGCTAATAATTATGACAGCAGGACAAAAAAGCCCTCAAAACCTCAACGTAATACTACCTGTAAAAGGGAGTGCCTTCTTCCCCATTTGAAAACTGTTTTTACACAATGTTTGTTTAAAGGCAAAAATAGGAGTTACATGTCTAATCCTCATCTTTCCTTTCAAAAGAAAAGTTTTGAATTAGTTTCTCTTTAACCTACAGAGATTTCATCCTGATCTGGATTAGTCCCCTAGCAACACCAAGCTGCTCTCCCTACCAAGTAGCACAATCACAACTATGACCTGGCATAGCATGGTGCACAGCAGAAGCAACGTATTACCAGCTTTTGGCACCAAAAGAATAAGAAATGCCTGTGGAAACCGCTATTATGTACATACATGTTTTTGTAGAAGATAGAGAAATTAGATTTCTGATTCACATTCCTGTACACAAAGCTGAGAAATGTATCTCTTTCTTTTTACTAGACCAATATAAAAAGTAAACTGCTTCAAGCTATAAAAAAATACAGGCAGAGAAGTATTTTCTGGAAGTGAAAATAAACATGAAAAAGCTAAGTATATTACTACAACTAAAGGTTATTTAAGGAATTATCATGCTGACACATTCATGCACATAGAAAGGAATCAGACAGACGTATTAAATTGCAATAGTTCATATTTAAAGTTCAAGCATCTTCATATATAGAATAAAATCCAACATCCAGCATGCATGGCAAACAGATTTCATTATTGCGGGGAAAAAAGGCAGATGATGACGGCATACAGCATTTCTTCACTTGCGAACACCTCATTAACACGGGTAGGTATTCCCGCAATCAGTCCTGAAGAATGCAGAAAACATCTATAATTGAATACACAAATCCAGCATTTGTTCAGTGGATCCAAATGCTAATTTCCACTGGCACCACTTGCTTTTGTTACAGTACAGCACACCACAGTTAGTTTACTGAATTAATGTACATTAAGACAGAGTAAAAAGGTTGAATCTGGGATGGCACAATGACAGAGATGTTCTGTTCGGATGAGCTTTTACCGTACAATGAACACCATGCACTGTTTATTGTAGTGTTCACATATTGGCCTGTTCTTTTTCCAGAAACATGAAGCCAATTATGCCACTCAACACAGCGGGAATAAGGTAGTTTTTATTTTCTACCTTTGACCCTTTTTTAGCTGGACTTATATTTTCAGAGGAAGGTTCAGTTGAGCTGGCAGGCGATGGAATGTTGCTAGAAGAATTGGATCCCTTGCCACTCTCTCCATACCATGTGAATGGTACACAGTGTGGGAGAGAGGAGGATCGTTCTGCTAAAGATTTAGTGTTTGTTGATTTCTGCAGCATCTCTCTGGCAGTCCTGTTTAAGAGAAGGGAGCAGAAATATGTGTTAGATTATAAAATAAAACAAAATGCTACAGAGGCAGTTAATTGTAGAAAGAGTGACATTCCCTGTAACTGTGACTAAAGAACTGAGTGGCATGCAGCTGGTAGGAGCATGCCTGAAATCTCTGTTTCATCAAAAGAAGAAAAAAGTGGGTTCTTTTGATTCTTTTTCTAACTGAAGCTCTCTTAGACAACATATACATAGCAAACGGAGACAGACGCCAGCTGAAAGTGCCTGTACTCCCGCCGTTCAGATGTGAACCAGCTCCAGCCCAGAAGCCACACGTTGTATTGGTGCATTTCTGAGCCCCACTGGTATCTCAGAATGATTAAACAGATTAGACTCAGCACTGACCCAAGCGGGCTCTGGTTCCCAGAGAAGGTCTGGCTTGGATTTCAAGCACAGGCAGGGCAGAATAAATCAGGTGTGTCTGTATCCATCTATGGAGCTACGCCTTTGTTACAACAGCTAAATACTGACAGAGTATTACTATCTTGATTTTAAAGTTATTAAATATTAAAAATACTAACATAGAAAAATGAAAGAAACACCTATGTGGTATTATCAGCTTCTCTCTTTGTAGTAACAAAGATTGCAGTGGATAATGCGATCAAGGCAAAGCTAACAGTTACAGAATAAAATGCCTAAATTATTCACTAGATATATCATGTCAACAGTACAGTGTGTAAATTAAAAACAACCATGCAAAGTGTCTGCCGCAAAGAACTTATACATGTCATATTCTCATATTATTTATATCAATGGATATTACTGTTTCAGAGCATTAAACTTTTACTGCTCTTAGCAGCCACCAGTAAATTACACGTGCATAAATCTCCCCTCAACTTCTACCTTCTGGACAGCTTCTACATCATCAACATAATCACTAGAGCTTTGTATTCTGTGAGGTCTCTTTTCTATATGGATGAAACTGAGGTTGCCAAAGGGCCCCCACCCACGGAAGCAGAAAAATCCTCCCTCCCTTTGGCTACATCAAGAAAGGTAGATGTATCTGACCCAGTCCTGTACTCCTCCCTCATCCCCTAATCTTGCTTGAAAGCAGAAAGAGAAAATAAACGATGTTTATTTAACTGCTTCAGGCAGTGGAATATATGCTTCTTACTTAAATGGGGAATTTTTTATATATGTAACACTAGTGGCAGTCTTAGGAAATAATTCAGCATTTTATTTACAGTTCCTGAGTGCTATTTTTTGGAAATGGTAAAATAATGGATGCAACACCCATATGACAGTGTGATTAATTCTACATCAACCATTTGCTGTAATGGACATAATTATAACAGGATGCTGTCTTTTGATGATCATCTTCCTTCTTTCAAAGAGCTTATACAGTTTTGGATTGTAGAGAAAACATCCTCACACTTCTTCTGAGGCAAATTCTTCGGAGTTCGCAACAAAGGAAGTGACAACGGGTGTTTAAAAAGATATACTGAAACAATAACATTCTAGTTTACAGAGCCATAGTGAGAATTACAAACGCTTATGAATTTTGACTTTGAAAACAGTATTAAACTTTGCTTTTAGTAACTGTATCCAAACTCAGAAATATTAACAAACAATACAAATATGGATTTATCAAATGGTCTAATAAGCAACTGATCTCTCTGTGCTTAGATCTGCTTTCTCTAAGGCAGATACCTATGGGATCTCACAAACGTCTGCAACAAGCCATGTTGGTAGGCTGAACATACCAAGTTCTTACAAAAAAGTATACGCTCATTTCCCCCATCCCGTGGCTTGGTATTTAAATTCCACGTGATGTTTAATACACTGCTGAGGGCAGTAGCTGCCTTATAGCTACACACAGGTGCAGAGAATTCACTTTAAGAAATCTCTCCCTGTCACTAGGGAAATCCGGCAGTGAATATCACTAACTCCAAGGCACACTGCAAGTAGACATACCAGCAGAAACAACTGGAAGAGGTTTTCTGACACCAGGGTAGAGGCGACGACTACTGCCTAAGATCACTGAAGATCTGCCAGATATTTGCAGGATATAAATGTACAAATGTATGCTGAGATAGAGCATTGCACTTCAGTACCGTGTGCCTGAGGGAGTAAGTCAGAAGTCTAAGGTTTTCTTTTGCTTTTCTGATGTGACAGAGCTACATAATATTCTTGCCACTGGGGCTCCGTGTATTAGACTGTCAGCAAAAAACCATAAACAGCTACATACTGGTTTTGCATGACAATTATTTTCTGAGTAGCATTGAAAGTTTGCTTTCTTTATATAGCTCTTTTATCACATAGGTTTTCTTTTGCATTGTTTTATGCACGAAAAGTTTTTGAGTTGCTATGTCCTTTCTGGACTTTTGGAAGGTATTAAGTCGGCTTAGGACTCCTGACATCTAACTGACTGCCTGTCTTTCATACCTGGAATCAGGTATCACCTCCTTTAGTTGGGATCTTGTCAGACTCATTAGCATGTGAGGAGAGACCTTCACTGAAAATCTACACTAGCTTTTGCACAGAAGATTGTTTCCTGCTGTTTTGAACATTCATTTATTTATTCAGAGTCCAGATGCTGGCGATGTGTTCTCATCAGATCTCACAAGGAATTTGCAATTCCTTCCCTGAGAGTTGGGGATGTGATCAATGCAGTCAGCATTTTTCCTACCTGCTTTCAACTTAT